CTATGAAGAGAGATAAAAGAAGGAATATGAATAGAAAATTAATAGGAAACGAGAAAGAAAGAAAGAGAGAAAAAAATAAAAGATAAGAAACTGTCGAAAAACAGGAAACGGTAGATAGATAACAGATAAAAATAACTTAAATAAGGAAAATAGGAGAAAATAGTAATAATATAATTCAAAATAAGATACAAACCAAGAAGATGAAAAGAAAATATATACATGCCGTGAAAAGAGAGAAAAGAAAACACAAAAAAGAAGAAATAAATGAATAGATAGACAAATAAAGAGAAAAAAATCAAGATATACAAATGCTTATGTAACAACGAGGGCATCGCCACGCGCCGAGAGTCATTTGTTTTTTTTTTGGCGCGAAACCTTGCATTTTGGCGCAAAAAATCGACAAATTTGAAGAAACTGCGCATCACACTTTGTCGAGCCAGACGTGAACAGTTTGGTACTTTCTTCTGTAATGTTGGTATTCAACTGCGTATTTTTTCGTTTATTGTTTGTCTGTATTTTTAACCGTAAGCTTCGGTATCGGCAGCATTATCACAATCTTCATCATTTTCATTTTCATCTTCATAATTATCATCACTACCGTCATTATTGTTGTTGTTATTATTATTATTATTATTATTATTATTAATGTTATTATTATTATCATCATCACTATGTTCATCATGATCATCACCATCATCATCGTCATTACCATTACAATCTTCATCTTCAACTTTATCTTCATAATCATCATCAACATTATTGTTATTATTATTATTGCTGTTGTTGTTGTTGTTGTTGTTATTATGTTATTGTTATTATTATTGTTATTGTATTATTGTTATTGTTATTATTGTTATTATATAATTATGTTATTATCATTATTATCATTATCCTATCATCATTATCCCCATCATCATCACCTTTGTTTTTGTTGTCAAAAGAGTCAATGGTTATCCTTGGTGCGTCCAGATTTTATGGGGTGTGGCGACGGGGAATTCTGAATAACGTATATTCTCTCTGCGTTTGTTTTGATGTCTATGTTTCTTTGTATTTCTTTGTCCAGGAGATGTATGTATGTAGTTATGTGTTTGTGACTCTCTCTCTCTCTCTCTCTCTCTCTCTCGCATACGCACGCACTCTCTTTATCTCTGTCTTTCTCTCTCTCTCTCTTTCTTTTCTCTCTCTCTTCTCTTCTCTTCCTCTCTCTCTCTCTCTCTCTCTCTCTCTCTCTCTCTCTCTCTCATCTCTCTCTCTCTCTTCTCTCTCTCTCTCTCTCTCTCTCTCCTTCCCTCCCCTCACCCTTTCCATCCCTTCTAACTCCTTCCCTCCCTCCCTCCCTGTATCCCACTCCCTCCCTCCCTCACCTCCCTTATCCCACTCCCTCCCTCTCCCTCCCCTACCCCACTACCTCCTCCCCTATCCCACTCTCTCCCCCTTTCCTTCCCTATCCCACTCTCCCCTCCCTCTCCTACCCCACTCCCTCCCTCCCTGCCCCTATCCCACTCCCTCCCTCCCTCCTTCCCCTACCCACTCCTCCCTCCCTCCTTCCCTAATCCCACTCCCTCCCTCCCTCCCTCCCTTCTTCCCCTATCCCACTCCTTCCCTCCCTCTCCTCCCCTATCCCACCCCTCCTCCTCCTCCTTCCCTCCCTCCCTACTTCCCTATTCCTACCTCCCTCCCTCCTCCTTCCCCTATCCCACTCCCTCCCTCCCTCCCTCCTTCCCCTATCCCACTCCCTCCCTCCCCCCCTAACCCACTCCTTCCCTCCTTCCCCTATCCCACTCCCTCCCTCCTCCCTCCCCTATCCCACTCCCTCCCTCCCTCCCCCTACCCCACTCCCTCCCTTCCTCCTTCCCTCCCCTATCCCACTCCCTCCCTCCCTCCCTTATCCCATCCCTCCCTCCCTCCCTCCCCTACCTCACTCCCTCCCTCCCTCCCTCCTTCCCCTATCCCACTCCCTCCCTCCCTCCCACCCTCCTCTATCCCACTCCTTCCTCCCCTATCCCACTCTCCCTCCCTCCCCTACCTCACTCCCTCCCTCCCTCCCTTATCCCACTCCCCCTCCCTCCCCCCTCCCTCCTCTCCCTTCTTCCCGGAGGAACGGACTCCACTTCGTGCTTGAGAAACCGGGCCACCGCCTTCGTTCGCAGGAATCTCGTGAACTACTTAGCATAATAACACTTGCAGCCGCGAGGAATTTAAGCAATGTTAAGTGATGTTAAAAAAAAAAATTCAGTAGGTGTATAGAGGCAGGCGGGCAGGCAGATAGAAAAACAGATATATACATGAATGCATACGTACATACATACGTACATGATATATATATATATAATATAATATATATATATATATATATATATATATATATATATATATGTATGTATATATATATATATACACATGCGTGCGTACGTAACTACATACAGACAGATACACGCACGTACGTACATACATACATATACATGCATTGCAAACATACGTACATGCGTTCATACAGACAGACAGACAGCTATGTAGTTGAACACATATAGATGTATGGGTAGATGAATAGAAATAGATATTGTCATAAATATAGGCACATATAGATATAGGTATGTAGATAAATTTGGTATATAAAGAGTGTATATAGATTGTATATATAGACAGACGGACGGGCAGGCAGACAGACATAGAAAACTGATAAATACATACATATATACATACATATATTGATACTTATGTATATACGACGGTGCGTACGTATATAATGAATTCATACATACATACATGCATACGTAAGTACATAAATACCTACATACAGCCATACACACACATATGCAACCATACATACAGTTATGTAGTACAAACAGATAGATATGAATATAAACTGATGTAGATATAGGCAAGATACAGAGATAGGTATGCGAATAGATCAGTATATTTGCCCACGTGTGTGAAAGTATGTCCTCTATTTGCCGACGTGTGTGAGTATGTCCCCCTTACGTATTCATGAAGTTTGTCACTCATCTTCATTAGGGAAATTGAACTGCAAGTCTTCTGAGAGGTTCCAGATGGACGCCTTCCTTCTCACAAGTGTTGGAGGCTCTTGAGGAATAATGAGCCTCACTTAAGCCATGTATGTAAGGGTTTTGGGCAATCTTTTAGGATGCTGGGGATTACGTACGCGCCAAAATCGTGGTCGTTTTTTTTTTTTTTTTTTTTTTTTTTGTATTTTTTATTTTTTTTCTGGGGGTGTGATTTTTCACGTGTTTTCTGATGAGCTTTATTATCATCACCGTATCACCACCATACATATATTACTCTGCTTATTACTCTATTAATCTGCGTTGGATTCATCAGTGGAGGAGCTTGGTTGTGTGACTATTTGTATTGCTTCCGCCTCCTCCTCCTCCAACTTTCTCTTCATCTTCTTTTCCATCTCCATCTCCTCGCTGCCTCCGCCTCCTCTTTCCTCCGCCTCTTTTCCTCTACTTCCACCTCCTTTCTCACCTCCACCTCCCTCTTTACTTCCACCTCCACCTCTCCCTCCATCTCCACCACCACCTCCATGTCAACCCTCACCTCCACCTCTCCCTCCATTTCCACCCCCCCCCCCTTACCTCCTCCTCCACGTCGACCCTCACCTCCACCTCTCCCTCCATCTCCACTACCACCCCTCTTACCTCCACCTCCAAGTCAACCCTCCACCTCTCCCTCCATCTCCACCCCCCCTACCTCCACCTCCACGTCCCCCACCTCCACCTCTCCCTGCATCTCCACCACCTCCCCCTCTTACCTCCACCTCCAAGTCAACCCTCCACCTCCACCTTTACTACCATTCCACTGTTACCAAGGCTATTATTACTACTAATGCTGCATTATTGCTTATGCTAATATTATTTTGACTACTACTATTACTGATACTTTTACTAGCAGTAATGACGCTAACACTAGTACCATTATTAGTACCACTAAGGCTTTTAATAACAGACCATTTTGGAAGCGTGCATTCAAGCAAACTTTTTATTTATTTATTTATTTTTTTTTTTTTTTTTTTTATTTTTTTTATTTTTTTTTTTTAGGGCATCGGGTCCGTGCGCTTTCTTCGCTGCTTTTTTTCAAGACCTTAGTGATTCTTATTCGTCTTATAATTATTTGTCCTTTTTTTTACTGAAGATTATTTTTCTCCGTAAGCAGTTTGCTTGTTTTTGCTCTTTGTTTTTTATGGACAGAGTAGGAGCGAGGCAGACTTCCTCACGTAAAACAAAGATTTTTTTTTTTTAAACGGATAATATTTGTGGGTAAATTTCGTGAAAGGAAGAGGGTACCATATAAAGAAGGGGGGGGAGGCAGAGGGAGGGACGTTATGGAAAAATGTTCTGTTTTTCTGTATTAAAAAAAAGGTTTTAAGCTCAGAATTAGATTGTTAAACCTTTTAAGTATGTTCTTGTTATGTTATCGTTCCTGCTATTTCTTTCTAATATATATATATATATATATATATATATATATATATATATATATTATATATGTGTGTGTGCAGTGTGTGTGTGTGTGTGTGTGTGTGTGCATGTCTATATATAATTACATCCGTGTGTATATCCTCTGATGATTTTCAGCATTAGTGACCAACCAGGCCTTGGCAATTAATGTTCAAGCTTTCTCTGTATCGCGGCGCCTCCCGTCTCAGATTCCAAGGTGTTTCGCTGCATCATCTGTCAAAGTGTGGAACAAATTAAGAAGTTGAACGCGCCGCGGCCAGGAGACTCGAGGCCAGAGCGAGATCAACCTTTGCACGGTCTATACTCCGTGAAATTACGGGAAAAGGAAGATCTGGCAACTCAGTTTAGGTTCCCGGAGCACGCCTATTCGTCAAGTGTCTTTTAAGAAAGATAAAAGTAGTTTTGAAAATGTTGAGAATGAAATATGGCATATGACTTTTTATCCAAAATACTAAAGTTATGTAAGTATAAGTAATAAGTGGCAGCTAGTTAGGATTGAAAAATAGAGTCGATCGGAGTATGCTTGTGACAGGGGTGAGTTGCCATTTTGCATTTTTTCCTGAGATCGAACACACTGAAGTCATAACGAGGGTCTTGATCTTTCTTTCGTCTGATTATATTTTTTTCTTTATTTTGTATTTTTTTCGGATGTGGATCTAGCCCCATCCCCCTGTCATAGGAATCTCATTTTGTGCGTTTGAGTTGATTTTAGTTCATATATTTATTTATATGTTCTTTATATTTGTTGGTGTGGATACTTAGGTTTGTTTCTATTTGTCTATACATATTTGCGTGTGTGATGATCATATATCTCTGTACCTCCTGTTAGAAAACGTGACAAACTGCATCGCATGACAGCATGAGATGTAATGCCAATTAGTGTCTCCCACTTAGCCATCTGTACTCTTTTTATCTCTTTCTTGCCGTAATTAAACCCTAAAAGATTTTTTAAAACTAGTTATTACTCTCTCTGTTACAGCTTTCATGCCTTTGAATATTTATCAGGTCAAACAAGTCTAAACAAGGAAGTTCTGTCATTGTGGAAGAAGATCACAGCGAGAGTTATTCCAAATGACTGTCTACACTTTAGTTGAGTAGAAAAGAATCGCCAAGCCTTGATTTAATAAGAATTTTGTAAATAGGAATATACCTCAGAATTCGACTTGTCTGGTGATGAACAATCTCGTATTCTCGTTGCTACAAAGTTTTATGCAGACGCAACCTCATCTTTTCCTAGACTGGAGGGTCCACCAGTGTCTCTTGTGCTTTGTTCATTTTCGAGGTAAACGCAGGTAATTGCAAGGGTTTACTGTGTAAACATATCGGAGGTGCACCTGCGTCTACACTCAGTTCTGCTTGTGGCTATATCCAGTTGGAGTGTGTATTTATACGTGATCTGAGCTGGAACATGGGTATGGAATGGTATGAGCAAGGTCTATATAAGTACTTATATAGACCTTGGGTATGAGCACGTACAGATGACTTAAACTTCAGGGTCCTTTTAATTAGACTTCGAATGAGTTTTATAACATTGACAGTCACTTCAAGCTACCTTTATCAGTATCAGAGATCAAACTGAATATCAATAACACGAACCGGAAAGAATAACCGACTCAGCAGTATACAAAGGAAATAACACGAGAAAGACTACAAAGCAGCCAGTAGACTCTCCCGCTAACCGTTAAAGGCACTCGCAGATGGCCAGATGTAAAACAAATTGCATGTTATGTACGTGTGGATTTTACAGCGATTCCCGGAGTGATTTATAGGGTGTGAAATCTACATAACATGGAGAAAATAGACGTTGGCAACTCAAGTTTTCGCTCTTATTTATTTGTTTTTATTGGTTGGTATATTTTTCTTTCTTTTTTTCGGGTGGGTGGTAGGTGAAGGCGTTGTTTATATTCTAGATTTATATGAAATATGCGAATTGTGCGTATTTTTAAGTCATTCATGATAAGAAAAACTGTGTTGTATGAACGAGGAGCAAAATGAAATTCCTAAAACAAAGCACATGGGTTTTTCCGGGAAAGACAATAGAAGAGAACGAAGTTGTAAATTAATCATTCATACATTTATGGATATGATCTTGTTTACAGTCTCGCCGTTTGTAGATAAAGGGACTGAAATTAGTTTATATATGCTGTATATACCTATACATACATACATACATACATACATATATATATATATATATATATATATATATATATATATATATATATATATATATGTATGCATATTATATATGCATATATATATGTTTTATATATTATGTATGTAAGAAAGAGAAAAAGAGAGATGGCAGTGCATACATGTATGCGTATGTATACTTATACAGTACATAAATGAATGTGTAGACGTCTTCAAACTTACATGTATGCATAATCACGAATGCACAAGCCCGTCCAAGCACATACCCAGTCTACGAACAGTTACATCCATTCCAGTATAACGGGCGACCCTTCCCTCCCCCTCCCCCTCCCCCACACTCCTTCCCCAAGCCCTCCCCCTCTCCCTTTCCTCCTCCCTGCCCCACGCTCCTTACCCCAAGCCCTCCCCCTCTCCCTTCCCCTCCCTCCCACACTCCTTACCCTCAGCCTTCCCCCTCTCCTCCCTCTCCCTGCCCCATATTCCCTCCCTCTCTCCTTACCCCTCTTCCTACCCCCTCTCCCTGATCCCATACTCCCTCTATCCTACCCCCCTCCCTGCCCCATACTCCCTCTATCCTACCCCCCCCCCCCTCCCACGGCTGGCTTCGCTTTCCTAGACTACCGCATTCCTCAACCTGTAAGGATCACCAATAGGATATAATTGCTCTAACCTTCTCTTCCTCCTTCTCTTTCCCCTTCCTTCCTCTTCTTGTCCCTCCCCATCTCTTGTCTTCTCTTCCTGTTCCTCCTTTTTGTTTTTCTTCCTTTTCTCCTCCTGCGTTTCTTGTTCTAGTTCTTGTTTTTTTCTGCATTTTCTTCTGTTTCTTCTACTCCGCTTCTTCCTCCTTATCTTTTCTTCCCCCCATTCCCCCCTCCCCTTTTTCTTCCTTCACCTCCATCCCCTCTTCTTCTTTCTTCCTTCTTCTTCTTTCTTCTCTTCTTCTTCTTCTTCTTCTCTTCTTCTTCTTCTTCTTCTTCTTCCTCCTCCTCTCCTCTCTTCTCTTCTCTTCTGCTTTACTATTACTACTACTGCTACTTACTACTACTACTACTACTACTACTACTACTATTACTATATACTACTACTACTACTACTACTATTACTATTACTACTACTACCACTATTACTATTACTATTACTACTGTACTATACTACTACTACTATTGCTATTACTATTACTACTACTGCTACTACTACTACTGTAATTACTATTTCTACTACTTTTACTATTACTACTACTACGCTACTATTACTATTACTATTATAATCGTCATCATTAATGTCATTGTCATCGTTGTTGCTTTGCTGATGTTTGTTGTTATTATTATATTATTTGCTATTATTGGTATTTGCATTTTTTATAGGAGAGGTTATCATTAACATTCTTCCAATAAACTGTGTCAGTGGCTTAAAATAATTATGTAATAAGTAATAGTGTCTAC